TTTCTGTTATTTAGAACTATTTCGTTGTTATTAAATTTGTTTTTATTTTACTACATTGTTTTATTTTCCTTGACATTATGCATAGCATAAACAGAAGGTGGATACTGTTTTAGACAAACAAGTTGATATTGAATTGGATGATGTTGCTAGTACATCGAATATTGATTATCAAAGCAAAACAACATCTGAAAAAAAAGTAATAACTGCTGAATACCATCGAAAGATGCCTCAAAATGTTGATGCTAGTGAGCCAACCTATGTGTTTATGAATACTANAAAGGAAAAGTGTCGAATTTTCAAAGCAAAACAACATCTGAAAAAAAAAGTAATAACTGCTGAATACCATCAAAAGATGCCTAAAAATGTTGATGCTAGTGAGCCAACCTATGTGTTTATGAATACTAATATGCAATTTGTTTGAAGATATTGAATGTGATGAATGCCACACAAAATCCCTAACAGTAGTGTCTCATAACACCTTTGGATATTCCACAAAACTAGAACTATGTTGCAAAAACTGCAAAAAACTATTTGGAAAAACTTTTTCCAGTTCTCGTATGGAGGAATCAAAAAGCTTCGAAATCAATAAAAAGCTTGTAGAGGAATTTTTGCACATTGGAAAATGGCATGCTGCCCTTGAAATATTTTCAATGGTGATGGGAATTCATTCAATGGACAAAAAAACTTTCAACAATTGCCTGAATAAAATTTCAGAAGAAAAACAACTTGTAAAAAAAGATATTTAACGATTGCTAAAAAAATAGTACGACAGAAGAATCCAGACATATGTGATGAAGATATTCTAGATGTTTGTGTCAGCTATGATGGTACATGGCAAAAAAGAGGCCACACCTCATTGTACGGAATTGGTACAGTCATTGATGTATTAACTGGCCTCATAATAGATTTTGAAATAATTTCTAGGTATTGCAGTGAATGCACAAATGCTAAAAGGGATCTAACAGAAGATAGCCCTGAATTTTTGATTTGGAAAGAAGGTCATAAAGACACTTGCCAGATAAACTACTGTGGCACTTCTGGAAATATGGAATTTGTTGCAGCTGAACGGATATGGATGAGCTCGGTGGAAGAAAATAACATGCGATATGTAAACATTGTATCTGATGGTGATTCGAAGACCTTTTTACATCTACAATCTCTCAAGCCTTATGGTCCTGATGTTGTAGTTTGTAAAGAAGTGTTTAAATCATGTCGCAAAGCGGTTATACAAAGGCCTGCGTAACAAGGTAAAGGAGTGGAGTATTAAAGGTGTTACGCTCGGTGGAAAAAAGACTGGCAGTTTGAAAGAAGATACAATAGTTAAACTCACAAACTATTATCGTAACGCAATAAAGAGTAACCTTTCTAGTGTTGACGACATGGAGATATTTTAAGCATTTGCTTCTCCCTCAATCAGAAATGGTTTTGTTTTTAATGGCTACCGAGGCCGGTACCCCCTGAAGACGTCGGCTTCGGTGGTCATATTTTAATTTTTATTTCATTCGTTTCTTGTATTGATACTTTTTTCTGAAATTTCTGCTGCTTCTTAGCGCGTTTTTTTCAAAGAAGTTTTATCCTTTTCGAATTTAATTATTTGTGTTTTCTTTCAGTATTTTGAATCCTATGTTTATGTTTCTAAATTTTATTACACATTTGGAACTATTTTGACAACAGTGACAATGTGCGGCCAAACAACCATGTTGAGGGCAAACAACCTTGTTTACCAAGACTTCCTCATTTAGTTGTATCAGATCAAAAACCTGCTATAAGCACTGCTCCTTATCATTATTCTTTAAGATCTAGACAAAAGTAATTGGTTCTCTTGACTTAGCTTTACCTGTCAAATTTTTACTGCCTCATTCTAAGGAGACTATGCTGGCATACTTTCTTCTGATTGAGTAGTTTTTTGTTGGAGAAAATACGATCGGTTTCTCCAGCTGAAGGGCTTTTGTAGTGTTTATTTTATGGTTAAGTTAATGTTCACTAGACCTAATCTTTAAATTATTATGTAATGTAAATTTTAAGTAATTGTACTTTCCTTTAAATTATTGTTCAATTTAAGTTTTAAATATTTATACCTTTTTCTAACTGTATCAGAATAGTATCATATTTTTGAGTTTTTTTCCACCTCAATTCAGTTTGGTATGTTGAACTTGTGATAATATCTTTTAAGTTGTATTTATGTATACTTACAAACTGTTTAAAAATTTAATATATAAATGTTTGGTTCGAGTAGGTAAACAGTCCACCACCCAAAATTTCAAGTGTACAATGTGTTACTATTACAACTAAATTTTTTCTAACATGATATATGTTATAAGATGTGATAAGCATGATGTGTTGATATGCATGCACATTTTCTTTTTCCTTTTGTATATATGTACATATGTTATTTGATGTACAGCATTCTGTTACTTAAATATAAAAAAAAAGTAGAATAAGCATATTAGGATTGTGTTTTGCTTTTGGTTGAATGAATGAAATGAACAAGTAGTTTTATGCAGCTTTCTACAGTTTTATGTAAACACCACACACACACACAAAAAAAAAGCTGAGATGTACATGTTTATTTTACGTAGGTTAAGTAACAGATATTCGTAAATATGGATTTGACGATTAATTTTTGAAAATTAATTTTGGTGATTTTATATTTTAATGTGATAATTTGCATGTGATATGATAATCGGGTTTGTATGTATATCCAAGAACTACACATTCATTTGTGTTTGATATTTTGTTACTATGTTCTGTTTTGTCAACAATACTGTCTTTTGTATTTTTGTTTTGGCAGGTTCAAGGGATGTTGTTGACTCCTCCGGCTGTCCTTTGCATTGGTTTAAGAGTTTTTGTCAATCTTTTTAAATTTTAATAAGTCAGGTATGTTTTTTTTCTTCTCTTCCTAAGGGGGATAGTGTGATGTTGTTACATCACATCTGCAGTATAATTCTACCTTTTAATTGTTTTTCTAGATTTTCATTCGTAAACCTTGCGCTTAGCCGCGATAGCCCTTCGAATTTAGTATTGATCGATTGATTTTTTATATCGATGTTTTCCCATCTAACTTTAACCGAGTTGTGCTTTGCTCTGGCCGGCGTGCCTCCTTGGCGTCAGTTGGGAGAATAATGATGAGATTGTATGTGAACGAGATCTCTTAGAAACATTTTTTAGCTCCTATGAGCTTACCTTGAGACGAAAAGAAAATGATCGATTCAGAATAAGAGAAAGAGATTAATGTAGACTTGGGTTAGAAGTCCATCAAGTGTTTATTTTGGGAATGTGATTTAACCCAAATGACGACTGCACTACTCAGTGATTAGATACGTGGTAGCGATCGCCAAACTTTGGCGAGTTTTCTCGGATTGATGAAAGAAGACGTTTCAATGGAGTCAACAATATTCATGGAACCATGAAAATCGAAGAAATAAAGAAGTTTGATTTGTTTCAAAAGGTTGCGTCTGTTTCCTATTTCGTATCATCTTGAATTTCAGCTCCGATGACCAGAAGAACCTTCTTGTACGAAGGGTCAGGTAACCTTTGAACTCTTTCCTCCTTTATTTAAAATGTATATGCGATCACCCTAGTACAAATTTCAAGTAATGACAATTTCTAAAATGGCTAGATTACTAATTCTATAACAACACTATAGGTGGCACTCCAGATTAAGCCGTAGAGGAGTGCCATCAAATCTAAATGTCTAAATATGCATAGATATGATTAAAAAAATTGACCATGAAAATGATGCTGAAAAAATAATGTTGCTGTGTGGGGCACAGAACCCACCGGAACAGAAAAAAAAATACAAGTATTCGAATGAAAGACTAAATGCATTAAAGACAAGGATAAACCAAATGCCTTTAAAAGTCTATATGGACGCAGCTGCATACTATGTACTATTTTAAATAGTGTTTTTTATATCATATGTTTATGTTTCTAAATTTTATTTCCTGTTTCATACTCAATAAATTTTATATTTTCACTCTTGTAAATATTAGAATCCTAAATAGAAAGAATATTAACGTATTATCCCGTATAGAAAAACAATAACTCTTTTTCATTTATGCGCTGCTCTGAAGAACCACCTCTCACGTATGCGCGGAGCAAAAACTTTCTCAGTTTGAAAAGGAGGGGTCTAAAAAGTGTAGCATATTGCTTATCATAAGAATTTTCATCCTTTTGACATGTTTTTCTTGGAATGCTCTCGTTTTTCTTATCTTTGTGTGGTCACAACCCTCGTTTTAAGGCCTTAGATGACTCCCCTACTGCTTTCCTCTTTTACCTTTTATCCTATTTTTCAAGTTCCAGGAACACATTTCACTTAGAGGGGTACAAGGAGGGGTCGCTCTTGTGATTGAGATAGGTAAAACTGACAGCCAATTAAAGATGTTAGTGCAAAAACCACGTGGCATCGTCAACTAACTGAAGATAATTCGTCGGTGTTTAGTTAGATGCTTACTTTTCAGCATGGCGAAGAGAACAAAATTGTCGCTTTCATTTAAAATGGATGTAATAAAAAAATTCCGAAGAAAATTTTTTCACCTCGAAGAAAGCTTTGGCGGAGTCTTTTAATGTCCCAGAATCAACGTTAAGAGGGATTTTTAAAAAATCGAGAAGCGGTTTTAACAGCTAATCGAGAATGTGGTGTGCAATCGAAGAAAAGAAGCAGGATTCAAGGTGGGAAGTACGAAGAATTTGAAAAAGTTCTGTTGACATGGTTTAAAGAAGTTCGTGCTTCAAACATTCCCGTTAATGTTGAACTTTTGATAGAGAAAGCTGTAGAGTTGTCCAAGAGTTTTGATATGCAACACTTTTCAGCATCTCACGGATAGATTGAAAAATTTAAAAACAGACATGGTTTAGCAACTCGTGTCCTTTCTGGAGAAAGTGGAAGTGTCAATGAAGAAACTGTTCAACAGTGGAAAGAGCAATTGGCCACTTTAATAAAATGATACGAACTAAAAAACATCAATAATTGTGACGAAACAGGACTTTTTTTTAAAATGATGTCGGACAAAACTTTATCATTTAAAGGAGAATCATGTCATGATGGGAAGAAAAGTGAAGAAAGGTTAACTGTCTTATTATGTTGCAACGTTGATGGCTCAGAAAAATTCACACCATTAGTCACTGGAAGATCGAGCAAACCGCGATGTTTTAAGAAAGTTAAAAAGCTATGCGACTATAGTAGCAATAAAACGGCGTGGATGACATCGAACATTTTTTTGGATTTCCTTCATAAGTTTGATAGAAAAATGGAAAAAGAAAAACGAAAAGTTCTTTTATTCATGGATCAATGTCCTGCTCATCCACAAGACTTACCGAATTTCAATAACACGAAAGTAGTCTTCTTTCCTGCAAATTGCACTAGCAAAATTCAACCCTTGGATCTAAGCATCACCCGTTGTGTAAAAGTACACTATAGAAAAACTTTAACTCGTCGTCTTTTGGCTGCCATGGAAACAAAACTTCAGGCAAAAGACGAGCTAAAGCAAATCACTGTCCTTGATGCAATGCGCATGATGTGCTCATCATGGAGAAGCATCACAGACAAGTGTATTCACAACTGCTTTAAAAAAGCGGGATTTCTGCTTCCAGAAGAATCTGATGGTGAGGAGGTAGAGCCCGAAAATGAAAACAACATTAGTGATTGGAATACTGTGTATGGTGGAATGGGTAATTGTACTTTCAACGAATTCGTTGACGCAGATGAGCACTTAATTACGGCTCAAATACGAGATATTTGAGAAATTGCAGCTGAAATAAATGGTGGCGACAATGATGATGAGATAGACGACATTGATGAAGAATATACCGCAAAAGTTCCCCCAACTCACACAGCCGCTTTACAGGCACTAGAAACTCTGCGTGATTATTTTCAATTTCATTCTGGAAGTGATGGAACTTTTTCAAGTCTTGATGGACTTGAAAAGGCTTTTTTTGAAAACTCCCAAAAACAAACCTCGATTGTAAATTATTTTGTGAAAAATTCATAATTGGAATAAAAAATAAAATTTGGGTATGTAAGCATTTTAATTTTCTTTAACTTATTAATTTATAGTTAAATATATTATAATTTGAATCTCATCGTATTTAAATGTTCAGTCAAGTATACATAGTATTAATTCGAAACATAATGTTGTAAAATGTATTAATGTTCTATTAATAAGATCTTTATTATGGCTTTTCACTTATAGGCGCTTTTCCTGTGGCCCCTCGCATAAATGAGAGATCACTGAATATATATATATATATAATATAGCGTTGGTGGCCCATACGATTTTGTAATTAATAGCGCAATTGTACTATAATTTCAGGCAACTCCTTTTCATTTTTCCCATCAGATCAAAAATTGATTCTTGGGCACCCTTAATTTTCCCCGGTTATTTGTGTAATAAATAAAAATTAATTTTTCCAAGCTTTCTTTTAATTATTTTGAATTTGCGCTAAAGCCTCAAGTTATTTAATTATTTTGATTTTAGTCTTATATATCTAATATTAATATTTCAAATGTATTTAGAATTTTTTTTTTGTTGATCTTCGACAGTTAGTTTTTCCTTTAATGCTGTAGGTTATCCCATTTTACCGCTGCATTAATAATATGGTGTTTTTTTTTTAAACAGTCATTTTTAACAATTTTACTTAAAATTATAATTAATTTAACTTCAGCATGCCTTAAATTCAAGCAAAGAAGTTTATTTAGAATTGCTTAAGTAACTTTACGAATGATTTTGTATAATTATATCTGACTAACAGAAATGCAAAATCAATTTTCTTAAAATAAATGTCTCTAAACTGATTTTACTGTGCTTAAGAAGTCAATGACATATGCATAAGGTAATTATTGCTGAATCGCATCATTTAAATATTAAATCAAATTAAACTTTCAAATTTTATAAATGAATTTTGTTACTTTAAGAAAGTTTTTATGATAAAAGTTTCGAAAATTCATCCCTTTCAACAAAATAAAACTTAAATTTTTACCTATAAGACGATTCATCATTTCAACATGTAAATGTGTTATTATACAATGTGCTAAATAGAATTTCGTTTAGAAAAATAATGTATTAAAGTAGGCTGAAATATGAAAAATATACTATACATCAAATAGTTAATTGAGTTCGATTTCTTTGCTTGAAGTTGCAAATTTTCGTATTTTTTTGAACCCTAAAAGTTTAATTAATAAAAATTCTGCGTATTTTCGAAATGAATATCAATGTGTTTATTTTTTTAAAGTATAATTAAATCAGGCTAAAATATTTTATATGTTAATCAAGTAATATATAACTTCGAATATTATCTTTCAACTTTTGAATTAAAAGAGAAAAAAAAAGTTAACAAGCAATGCAAATATTTATTAAAAGAAAGAAAGAAACATGAAAAAAAAAAATTTAAACTAATTTTGCTTAAAATAGAGATGTTAAACATTTTCCAAAGATGCCTAGAAGTTCCTTTTTAAATATAACATGTTTGTAAATAAATAGATCCTCAATTGAAGAAATTTTTGTAGTGTTCCAATGAAGATAAAAATCCCCATATTTATACCTAACTCACTCTTTCCCTTCACCCGTTTTCCCTATTACAAAAGGCAAGATTATTTTCTTACCCCTCGATTGCCATACCTGCTCGACCCCACCCCTTTTTCCCATTTTAGGTGAAAAGGAGTTTAGAGCAAATGTAGGTGGAACCCCATTACTTTAATAGCAAAAAAAAAAAATAAATAAATAATTATTTACCTTACGCAACTCAACAAAATATTAGTACGGGAACATATTTGCAAGGATCTCTAAAGTATTATATTAAGTTTTAATAAATTCTGACGAATAGTTTTTTCCTTATTATTTTAAGTCTTACTTTTTTATAAATTGATTACAAGAAATCAATTTTAATTTTAGAAGTAAGAGAAAATTCATTAATTTGTTCTAAAATGAATGTTTCAAACAGAATTATTTTATTTCGTCTCAACTTTAGACTGATTCTAGATCTCGGAGTTCTATAGTTATTAAGGTTTATGTCATTAAACTATTTTTTAAAAGAAATTAAATAGAGACGCACAAAATTCTTATGCGGCTTTCACACTTATGCACAAGCGTTAATTTATAAAGAGCTTAATACTGGATTTGTATATGTATTTTACCAGGTTAATCCACAAAACACATCAAGTGTATTACACCGCATATGCGCGCGTAACGTACCAGGAAAAATGCAGGTCTAAGTATGATTATATCGGAATTTAAGTACTACAGTTAAAATTTGAACAATTCTGAGTATTTTGACACCTTATGCAAGCTTGTACAAGTTATGAGCGAAACTGTAGATGCTGTCAAAATCAAAACTCGGGTTTTGAAACCGAAACTACCGGCAGACGAATCTTGATAGTTTGCCCAGCTGGAAATCTATCAATAAAAATTTTTTTAAAACTTTCCTAAACTATTATTTTATGAGATCATTTTTTTAAAGAAACAACTCACACAAACAGGAAGCAACTACCCAACTCAATTCAAGCAAATTAGATTGCTTTGTAAACATTGCATCAAATATACACTTTTATTTTTCACGCTTGATTTTCCCACCTTTTTGTATATTTACAATATATATTTATATTGTTTATTTGTTACATATATTATTTACGTGGGGGTTGATGGATTGAATGTAGGGTTTAATGGCACAAAGTCCAAGGAAGGACATGCTGCGCCAAACAAACGGTTTTAAAATGAGGTAAATGTATAATACAAATTTTCTTCATAAAAAGTCACACGGAATTTATAAAACTAGGTACAACGTGACAGACGTATTCAAAAGTGAGTAAAAGTAGATAAAAAGGATAAAACAGTTATATACAGTATAAAAGACCAATCGCGCGTAGAAACGCAAAAATGTTAGGATAATGAGAGTCACCTAACAAATCCTGTAGAGTTAAAATAGAACTACCAAAAAAGGTTAGACGATGACGGTTAAAACATGGGCAGATGATTAAAATATGATGAATAGTGAGTAAAACTTTACAGGTGTTGCATTGGGGAGGAGGTTCCCCAAATAACAAATGTAAGTGTGTCAGCCGAGTGTGGCCGATTCGGAGACGATTTAACTTTACATCTGCATGCCGCAGACT